TCTCTCTCTCTCTCTCTCTCTCTCTCTCTCTCTCTCTCTCTCTCTCTCTCTCTCTCTCTCTCTCTCTCTCTCTCTCTCTCTCTCTCTCTCTCTCTCTCTCTTTTGCTTGTTGTCCCTTGCGGTGGTCGGGTTCCCCACGCATGTGCACCTGTCCTGTATACTTTGTACCTACCCGGTCTGCCTTGGCTGCCGCATTCCTTGGCATCAGTCCATACACACACGCACACACGCACACACGCACACACGCACACGCATACACACTCCCGCCTACAGTCTACCGTACACCGTCACATACACAAGTACCCTACGTACATGCCCCCCCACACGTCCTGATGTGCACTCGTCGCTAAAGCAAACCACGGCAAACAAAACAGGCCCCGGAATACTGGCCAAAAGTAGACTCCGACGAATCAGACGAGGCGGCGCCCGGATCGTCCTCACTGAGCCAGTAGGTTGAAGCCCGCATTGTCCATTATGTGGTGGTGGTGTAGCCACAAATGCGGTATGCAGATCCGAACCCCCCGCTAACGCCCGTGGCCGCTCTCCTTTCCAACTGCCCCCATCGCACAGACAGCCTCCCAAGAAGCAATCCACCTCCTCCACCAAGAGGTTCTTCCGCTACGTCGCCAAAAAGTTCGGCAAGGCCTATGAGCGTTAGTGTCTTTCCGCCTCGACCCGCGGCTTCCCCCTCCCCGGTCGCGCTTGGCTGCTTTGTATCTTGCCGTCTTGCCCTTTTCCCCTCTGTGGCTGACCCTCAACCCTCGTGCTTCTGATCTACAGCTAGATACGGTTACTTTCCCACCGATGAGGTAGGCTTCCTGCCCACATCCTTTTTGCGCATGTGAATACTAGGTACCGAAGAATGCGACCAAAGTATTCGGTCTTGCCCATCCCCATAAACGCCACATGGCTGACGACAACCTTTCGACCTGTTCGCCGCAAACGGTCTCGTGCAGAAAGAAGACGACCGAAATGGTAAGTTGCCGCCTTTCCCCCTGCCCGCAAAACGCAGCAAGGTGGGCACTTTGGGCATGGCTAACCTGCAGTACCGAGCGCGACGCCAGAAATACAACACAAGCTCTTTTTCGAGCTTTTCGAGGACAAGCTGCACCTAGCGCCCACGCTCCAACCGAGGAGAGTGCTCGACGTGGGCACGGGGCCAGGGTGTTGGGCAGTAGTATGTTTTTTTTTTTTTACCTTCCCCTTACACCCTTGATCCGTCTGATGCGTCGTCTCATCCCCCCCCCTCTGGTGTGCTAGCGTTAGGCATAAGCTGACAACAAGGGTGTGTGTTTGTCTGCAACAGGATTATGGCAAGTTTTGAACCCTGCTTCCCTCTTTTTTTTTGCTGACCGCCGGGAAAAGGAGGTGGTGTTAGCGGGGATAGAGAGCCCTTGCTAACAGCGTGGTCGCTGCGCTTCGGCGCGCTACTGCATGTCACCTGCCAACAGCCAAGCTGAACCCGCAGGCGACAGTCATCGGGGTCGACGTCGAGCCGGTGCGGCCCCGCACGGCGACACCGCGCAACTGCCAGTTCCTGCTCATGGACGTGACCAAGGACTGGTCCGGCGTGTTCCCCGAGGGCGACGAGAAGGGCCGGGGGTTCGACCTGATCCACGTGCGCATGATGGGCGACCTGCTGGCCAACACGGACGAGCTGATGCGGTCGGTGCACGCGCACCTCAACCCGGGCGGCTGGGCCGAGTTCACCGAGTGGGTCGTCGTCATCGAGACGCCCGACCGGTCGTGCGAGGGCGGCGCCTTCATGCGGTGGAACCGCCTGCTGCGCCAGGGCCTCCGCCGCATGGGCAGCTCCGTCTACTACCCGCTCATGTACAAGGACCGGCTGCTCGACGCGGGCTTCACCAACGTGGCCGAGGTCAAGAACGCGGCGCCGAACAATGCCTGCTACCCGGGCAAGCGCATGCAGCGCATCGGGAACCGCATGGTGCGCAACTGGTTGCTGGTGCTCGATCCCGTGTCGGTGCCCGTGTTCCACGTCCTGGGCTGGTCCCAGACAGCCCTGGACTTGTTGTTGGACGAGGTCAAGAAGGAGATTGTAGACACGCAGAACCACTCGTACACGACCCTGTGAGTTTTTCTATTTTAGGCTTTTTTTTTTTTTTGTCTTTTTCCCTCCATTGCCCTTTTGTCCCATCACTCTACTACTGCGGATGGAGACCCAGAAAAAAGGCCTACCAGACGCCAACGGACATACAGCTGACTGACGTGGGCGAATCAGGCTCACCGTATACTGTCAGAAGCCCCTCGTGGGAGGGTCGTTGGCGTCGTCAAAGATAGAATCCATCCACTCATAAAAAGGGCGCCCACGTTCGGCATTTCGCGGGCGGACTGCGGTCTGAGGGGGGTTGGGAGGGTGTGTGTATGGGTGTGTGTGAAATGGGCCGAGATGGCGGGAGGTCGGCTCTCGGTTTCTTTTTCTCTGGGTCGGCCTCTCTCGGTTGACGCCCTGCATATGCGTGCCCACCGCCGACTTCTGCAGCATCTTGCGTCTTTTTTTTTTTTTTCTGTGTCTTCTCTTTCGTTTTCAGCATTCCTCCCACTAGAACGGTTTACTTCATCTCTTAGTGTATAGTGTCTCCTGCGCTTGGTGGGCTGTTGGCGTCCTTTTCCCTTTGTTCCATGCTTGTCGAATCCAAACTACGGAGGTGTCCGGCAAAAGTTTTCGCCGCGGGGCATGTATCGACCAGGGCAGGGCGTATTCAGCTCCTACCAAATAAGGCCTAGCTTACATATTTTTCAAAGTCAATCACGGGTTCAGTGCTGTAAAAATATGTTCATTTATGAATTTCTATGCGTTGCTATTGGTCGTGGCATACCCCGGCCCCTGCCTCGCCTCGGGAGCGACCTGTCCCACGGCGAAAACTTTTGCCTGACACCTTAAGCCACGTACCCAAATACATTTTTCACCATAGAAAATCCCGCCAAATCGATGTATCGCTACCCGCATCTCCATTTGCCGGAACCCACTAGAATCGTCATCCACAGATAAGATATTAACATACATTGATCTCTACTACAAATTGTGTGGCACGCTATGTACCCTTACCCCCCTGGTTGATTCACCGCACTAACGTTTCTGATCCCTGGAACCTGTACAGGTCCCAGGGATCACAAACGTTAGTGCGGTGGATGCAAGATACATTTTCTTCTTTAGAAAACCAAGCCAAACTGATGTACCACCCAGGATCCACCGTACTAACGTTT